GAGAGGAGAGGAGAGGAGAGGAGAGGAGAGGAGAGGAGAGGAGAGGAGAGGAGAGGAGAGGAGAGGAGAGGAGAGGGTTACATGATTTCTTCTCAAGTCTTTTCGTAAGGCACGCATAGCTATGTATATATTTCCATACACAGAAATTAAAACGTAGGATCGGTAAGAGGAGTTGAGAACCTCAGGCCAGTTAAATGAAGCACTAAGAATTCTGCCGTACAGTTGGGCTCTTTGGGCTGGGGGAAGCAGTGGCGTTGCCCGGCTGTAGCCGGAGGCACCGGAGCCCGGCAGCGCTACTGCAGGAGCGCGGCCCCGATTGCTGCACGGCACAGGGTGCGCGCCCCGCCCCCACACACTGCAAGGGTGCAGACAGACTCTCCCAAGGTAATGCAGTATAAAAGAAAAAAAAAAAATCGATCTCAATATATTGTTCAACAGTGGAGCCAGAGCGCACCGATTAGATTTATTAAGTATTGATTTGCATGAATATTTTAGACCCATGCCTATGAGAAAAGTTATAGACCATCTTCGGGGGGTGAGCGATGTACCATTTGCAGTGCAGCCATGTAACAAGGTGCTTTTCAGCGTATCGATCACCTTCATTTAAAGTGTAATTAATATTAACATCTTACAGCGGCTAAGCCAGTTTATTTCAGGGGGTCGCTTCGTATCATGTGCCGATATTCTTTTGCTTTGCTTAAAAAAGCACTGAAAAGGCCACCTTTCCGCTATTTTTTTCTATTAGCTCCCAATAAACACAAGGTACCTTTGTGAGCAGCCTGGCAAGGTTCTCCACCGCCTCGCCTCTGGAGTGCCATCTAGCTAAGCTGTTGTAGCAGCATTCATTAAGTAAATGTCAACAGAGGAGGATTTATGCTGCATAATAATATTACAGCTGTAGTATAACTGGATTTATTTTGAAGCTATTCTGAGGTTGCTTTGATCTATAAAGCAGCAGCGTATGTCTCTGTATGTCGCAAACAGCCTTCTCAGAACAGCTTTGAGCTGTAGAGTCCACCAACATATAGATCATTCTGTTTGCTAAAGAACTAAGCATGGCTATCACTTCTTTGCTTAATAAAAATATAAGTAAGGAAGAAAACTGCGGAGAATCCGTTGCTGTCATTTTGGGGGTGAGCTTTTAATTTTTTATTTTTTGTCCTGCTGAATATGGCCGATTTATGACTAATGAGAGCTGTTTGTCTACATCCTGCAGAATATTCGTGCCACCGGTGCAATGAAAACAGTCTTTAAAAATCTACGAGATAAAGAATCCTGAAGTGCCTGCATTCTCACTTTCAGTACACACTTTTAATAATCGACTCTATAGCACTTCCTGCACGTACAGAATAAGGCATTAGTAAGCACTTTGTTCTTAGACGAATTCACGTCTTGCACCTTTTAATATTTTACTATGATCATAAGTTACAAATACAGTGTATGAAAAAAAAAACTGTTTATTAATAGAATCAGCACGTCTTTAAAAACAAAACAAAACAAAACAAAACAAAAAAAAAAAAACCCAACCCCGAACTAATGCCAAAACACAGTTTAAAAATCCGATTGATAGTGGAGCCCTGTCAGTCCCTTAACTTCAAGAAAAAAAGTATTTTTAGTAGAATCAGAAGTATAATAATCTCATATGTTACTCCAAAGAAAAGGCATGTGGAGAGCGGAGGGCGTTACGTTGCGCGCTGGGTTACAGTCTGCTCTGATTGATAGGAGCGCGGAGTCCGGTTTTACCCCGGCGGGAACTGAGTCCGACGGGGGGGACGAGCTGCCCGCTGTCCTCCAGGCAATCCGGGCTCCGAGCGGCACGGAACCCAAACGTTGAAGCCAGAAGAAGGAACGTCGCCCAAAGTCACCTCCAAAAGGCCGAAGTCCCCGAGGCTCTGCGTCCCGCGAGGCACCGCCGCGCCCGTCCTCCTCCGCTCCTCGCGGTCACATCACCGCTTTGGGGATATTTCACCCCAAGTGTTTCACAGATATGCAAAGAAAACAGCGTGGCGAAGCTCTCCCGGAATCAAACGAAGGATTTCGGAGCAGTGGAGAAACAGCTCCCAAAAACGGGGCTCAGGTGGGAGCGAGCATCCGGGCAGGAATCCGCAGTATGCTT